CTTAAGTATAAATTATTAGCATCAACATTGCAAATTATTGTTGTAAATAAGAGAAAACAATCAATTTCAACATAAATGCATAGCTAAATTACTTTTAAAAAAAAAAATGCAAAGCCAAATATCATAAGTGCAACATGTGCCAACCAGAATCAGAACAAAAATAGATATATTCACCCAACATGAAATTCCTTGTACTTTTCATCTAATAACTTAGTAAATGCAGTCCTTGGATTCTTTCAACCATAGATGCATAAATATGTAACCGCAATTAGGAGATGCAATATATCACATAATATTCTTAAAAAAAATTGTAATGATCCTCATTTTTATCATTTTTCATTTTTTTGGGATTTTTTTTTATATTCTGGATTATTTTCGTCTTGTCTCGTATTACGTGACGGACATAGTGGGGTGTGCCGGGTGTGTTTGAGAGTTGATTGGGCTATTTCCTTGAGTTCAGGACTCTTGGAAATGCAATGGTTACCATTTCGGCTTTTCTCCATTTTTCGGACCGGGAGATTCTTGGTGGGACCCGCTACCAGGGTCGTCGTGTACGGGGGTTGTGTTTCGGGTCCATCGCATTTCATACATTATTATTTGATATATAATTATGTGGATGCATGTTTGGATGGGTGGTTGTATTGTATTTAGTGTGTATACATAAAGAAGTTCAAAAGCCTGTTACAAACTTCTACATAAGCCAACTTTCTGGTTGAGTTAGCATAAGTAGTCCACCAATCAATGAACTCTTGGGTTACCTCTGGGCAACTATTAAAACCTTCAAATTCAAAAGAGTTCTTCTTCAAGGCATACTTTTCATCCACTGCTTAGAATTACTCATTCTCGGTAAATCTAACTCTCGCGTTAAAGAGTCTATTAGCCGATTCGAAAGGGGGCAAATGAATGAGTTGTGTCAAGCCAAATTGTCTAGCCAATTGAGCCGGATTCCCCACAATGACTATTCTTTGAAGTTAGAGTGGAGGTTCCATAGTGCAAATCACGGCAGATTAAAAAGCTTGCCCAAATTTTCTTCCAAATATAATATGTTAATAAAACCTCCCTTCTTTTAATAGACAATGATGATGATGATGCCGATGGAAATGATAAGAATCCTGCTGGCAAGAAAGAAAAAGTTGAATTGACTGCAGCAGTCGAAGGTATTGAAGGAGGTAGGGATAGTAATCCAGAAGGTTCTGGTGGTGACAAGCCTCTAGGAAGTAACAAAGGTGTGGCCCTTATGAAGGTTAAGAAAGAAAAATTTCAAGAAGATGAGCTCTATAAAGCAAAAGGAAAAAAGAAAGTTGCTTCCTCTTCTCATGTATTCTATAAATACCCTTCTAGTTGGCGTAACATCCTTTTCAATCCCTTTCTTAATGACTTCTACTGGGCTTTTCTATTTGACAGGCTCTAGCCACTGCCAAGAAAAAGTATATACCTCCTATCACTTTGTCGAGTGAGGATGACTCCACTACCGCCTCTGAAAAAAGTACTACAAAGAGGATTTCCTCTGTGAAAACTTCGTCCAAATCCATGAAACATGCAAGTCCACTTGACCAAGATCGTCCCTTGAAAAGTAATTAAAAAATGAAATTTTAGTAGCTGTGGGGCCCACCACTAATGAAAGCCTTTATCAATGACCTTATAGTCATTGTAGAACCTCACTTTTCACTCTCTGTCATCAGTTTCCCTCTCCCTCACAGTAGCTTCAGTTTTGATTTTCTTTTTTCCTCCATTTGAGCTTCATTATTTCTCTTCCATTTTTTCGGCCAAACGATTGGGTTTTCTGTCTTGGTTCCTTGACGGAAAACGTCTCGCTCGTCGTTCTCTATCACATAGTCAAAGGATTTAATTTTTGGAGGAGCAGTGATTATTTTATGAATTTTTGAAATTTTTGGATCTAAGGCTTCGGAGGAGATTTTAGGCCACTTAGAGTCGGATTCCGGAGCTGAGCCTTTGGAACAGTAGAATCCCTTATCGACGGCTACGTTTCCACCTAATAGTTTTCCGTTCCGCCACTGTTGACCGGCGTTGACTTTTGTTGACCGGCATTGACTGCGTTGATCGGCGTTGACTTTTTCGGCACGGGATGCATTTTGGCTGCTTTTGAGGTAGGGATGTCTAAACCGTTACGTTTTGACTTTAGTTGAGTTCGGTATTTGATTTCTTGCTAAGCATGCTTAAAATGACGGATATCGGGATTTAATTATTGATTATGTGTTTACATGTTTATGTGGCGAAACATGATCTAAATGATGTTAATTGTGCATGTATATGTGCTTAGTTGCAAAGTTGTTTAATGAGCATGACAAGATGTATAATGTGTTGAAAGTGATAGAAATTGCTTGTGTTGTTTATTGATTTTGATTATATGCACTCGAATGCTTGAATGTTAAATACTATGTTGTCAAAATTGTTAATTGAGAGTTTATTAATTTAATTTTCTCAAAAGCATACAAATGAGATATAGATGAATTGTATGGAATTGTGAACTTGACATGGTATGGTGATTAAAGCATAAAGCATTCATGCATCGCATTGGGCAAGAAAGGGAAAATTTGTTCTGAAATGAAATGAAATAATTTTGGGAAAATTGTTTTGGAAAGTGTTTGTGAAAACCGGATGCCTAGGAGACGCCTAGTAGTTCGTGGTGTTAGTGTAGTCTAGAGAGGATCAGGGGTTAAGTTAACTAGGCCGGATGCGACGCCTTGGAGGTGCCTTGTGGTCGTGGATAGTTAGTCAATCCCCCTTTCATGACACCTTGAAGGTGCCTTGGGTCGGATTACACTAAGGGTTTGGAAGTTGAAACGGTATTGTTTTGGAAATGGGGAGTGACATTACATAGCATGGCACATCATTGGCATACTTGATGCATTTGGTAGTTGGTTGATATATGTATGTTTGTTGATGATACAGTGGCTTTACTCGACTCTTGAGATATGATCCCGTTCTCATGCTTTCTATTCTCTATGTGGATTCACGGGGTCATAAGAGGTGTGTCTTAGGCACCTCCTACTGAGCAATTTGCTCACCCCTTATATTTAACATTTTTCAGGATACAGACGGAAAGTGGCAGACGACGCTCCTCCATAGGGTTCGATGGGTTGTAGACTGTTTTGACATACTTTGTAGCTATAATCTCATTTTATTATTATTTATTTATTTATTTATTTATTAATTATTATATATATATATATAAAAACCCTGAAATGACACATATATTATGTACTGACATAGGAAAGGACGATTGTGCCCTTAGTTAACCTCGAGTTCGAGTAAGGACCCGATTAGCAATTCAGACCCTCGGGTTCGGGTCATTGCAAAAACTATAAATAAAGTCTACACAAATCATAGTTTTCTCTAAAAATAATATATGTTTGTTTTCGATATTATTACCTGCCTTAATAACATATATCAGTCCAAATCTGACCAGAACATTTAAATTCTCCTTTAGATTGATCCTTTGTGTGGTAAACCTGTCCATATTTTGAGATTTGTTTATGATCTAGTGATACACAAAACATATTATTAATTAAGATTAATGTGCAGCTAATGGAATATATAATAAACAAAGTTTGAAATACAAAGGTGAAGAGGGAATCGAATTCATAGACAAAAATTCAAATAGATAGAAAGAGAGAGAGAGAGAGGGAGATCTTACTATTATTAGAACATTATTTAAGCAGCCAAATCCTCTAAGATAACCATCTCACGCAAGGATTTGGATCTTTAGCCCATCATTTCCCTTGCTCCTTTGTTCTTCTTGAATTTGCCTGGCAGAGTTTTCAGCAGAGCGAACTACAACAACGCAGTTGAATCATCTCTAGTGTAGATATATCTCCTAAACTAGATGGGATCTCCTCAAGCCTTGCACATTCCTCTAATACCAACTGTTGAAGGTGGGGAAAATGATTGCTGGAAGAATTCCATTGGGTAATATCCAAGCCTGAAATTTCAAGAATCTGAGTTTTTGGAACTCCCCATCACTATTGTCCGATATCTTGGACCCTCAAATGCCTCATCTAATAATTTGAGAACCTCAAGGTTGGGTAACATCCAAGAGTCGACATTTCCTCCCAACCTAGATGGACATATGATAAAGTTAGGCTTCTGAGACTTGGGGGGAAATTATCCAGATGGAAAAACCTTTTGCAGTCACTGGATATTACATTCAGTGTTTCAAGGTAAATCAAAAAGACTAGCTTAGGGAAATGGTCATCCCCATTCAATGTCTTCGTAATATAACATTTTAGTTTTCTGAGATTGGGAATCCATTTCAAGGCTCGCTCCTCTCCACTACAAAGATGCAATTTGCCTACTGTTTGTAGGTTATCCAATGAAAAAGCATGGCCATCATTGGGTACCCTAGAGAATTCAATAAGCCGTTCTGCATATAGATGCCTCAACTTCCATATCTTCCAGATATCATCTGATAAAACTAACAAACCTTTTGGGCCTTCAAAAATTAGGTTTTCTAAGTTCTAGAGGTTGGATATTGATGGCAGGAAAATCTTTTGTGGTCCAACACGCAGTGCTAAATACCTCAAAAGAGCTAGTTGTGTTATTCTCTCAGGAAATAAAGGAATTTCAATAGATGATAAATTCAAAACTCTAACAAGTATGAAATTTTGATGAATGAATGACACGTCCTTGAGATATAAGTTACATAACGAATTTAAATGACCAAAGGAAATGATAGATCAGACTTTGGACGCATAAGGATAATGTTTCAAATAAGTAAAAGTTTCTAGGTCAGGATGTATGCACATGCGACGATGTTTATTTAGGATGGTACTTGAAGAAGAAGATCCAAAAATCTGCTGAAAAAGATTCTCTTCCTGGACTTTTTCAAGATTCTATTTTAGTAAATTCTCTTCATGAGGTTTTCCAATGATGTGCTCATAGAATTTCTCTTCTTGAACCTTACCAAAAATTCGTTGAAGTAAGTTCTCTTTGTGACCTTTTATTGAAGCCTGATGAAGAAAATTCTCTTCGTTAGCTTTTCATATGCACAAGTCACGCAAGAGATCATGTACATAGAATGCTTTGATTTCACCACTAGAGCTTTTCTTTGAAACAATTACAAGACTTCTATCCATTAGATTAATCAAGTAATCCTCCGCCACTTCTTCCAAAGTCTTCTGCTCATTTTGGCATATAAATCCCTCGGCAGCCCATAACCAGATCAATTTCCACACAGGAATTTCGTAGTCTTCCATAAATGCTCCGAGATAGAGGAAGCATGCTTTCAAGTAGCGAGGCAAGACATTGTAACTCAGTTCTAGTGTGTGCATGTATTGCTCTGGATCACTCACCGTGTATGAATGTATGCTTTCAGCAACATGCTTCCACAATTCCAGTGTCTTGTCTTGTTTTGCCAGAAGTCCAGATATCACAACATTTGCAAGGGGTAGTCCTTCACATTTTTTGGCAATTTGTTTTCCAATTTCCATCAACTCTAGAGGGCAGCTTTCTTACCGAAATGTCTTGAATCGCAATAGATCCCAGCTTTCATCTTTATTTAGAAAGCCCAAATGGTGAGGTTTAGCATGCAAAGCGACAGTTAAGATTTGACCACGGTAATTCGAGATTATACAGATTGTACAGCTCAGGATTGAATTATTTACTTCTTGATGTAGAGCTAATTGATAGGTAATTAGTTTCCTAATTATCGTATATTTAGTTACCTATTTTAGCTAGGTACTACTTTATAAATTAAATGTAACACCGTCGTCAATAATATTGAATTAAGTTTTTAATCTTCATATTCCTTCTTTGAATTCCAAGATGGTATCAAAGCCAGGTTTGAATCGTACCTGAACAGACCTTTGAATTTCTTTGAATTTATTTTAATTTCATTGAGCCATACACATACACATACACATACACATTCCCATACAAATATGACAGACCCCTCACACGCAGCAGCGGAACTGCTGTCTGCGGCTGCCGGCGATCTGCCATCGCCGGATCTGGATCTTCTATGAACCGCTGCCTGCCGGTGACTTCAAACAACGACGACGTTGCTAAAGCTCAACCAAACCGCTGTCGATCGCATCTCTGCCGCTGTCGTCACCAGCCACAGCCATCACAAGCTGCAGCCCGCACCATCGCTGGATCAGCAGCCTGTGCCGAATCAGTCGCCGTTGCCGTTGCCGAATCAGTCTCCTTCGCTGCTTTCACCACCGATCGGATCATCTAGCCGCCACTGCTGCCGCTAAATTCGATCTCTGCCATCCGCCGCAGCGAGCTCTCCATCCCCAAGCTCACCACTGCTGCCACTCCACAACCACCGAGCTCACCACTATCTTCAAACCGAGCTCACAGTCATGATCTCCAACCGTCGACGACGGAACTGCCGCACCGAACCAGATCTGCTCTCAACCAATCGCCAATCTGAACTGGATTTGGACTCGCCGCCGATCTGTGGACGACCCTCCACCGCCGCACCATCGCCGGTCGCCTTCCTTAACCGGAGGTCATGGCCGAGCTCTACTGCCAGTTCGTCTTCTCCTAGCCGAGTCCTGCAATCCTGATTTGTTCTTGTGATATATATATATATATATCTTATTTTTCAAAAATCAAAAATCAAAAAAAATCAAAACCCTCTGTTTGGTCACAAGTGTAATACTATTCCAGTTCTGGATTAGTTCACAACTAAACTAGTTTTGTAACCTCATTTGAAAACTGGTTCTGTGATAAACCAGTTCCAAAAAAAAAATGAGTGAACAAAATATTGAATCATCTGGAGCAGACAAGTCTACCTACAAATGCATTCATTGCAACCATACTGGTCATACCAAAAGTCGCTGTTTCAAATTTATGGGATATCTGGAATGATGGGATCATCGTCGTTGGAAGAAGAATTCAACAAAGACCTCCACTGCAGCAGTTGTTATGACGACAAATACTAGTGGTAAGAATTTCAATATTTCTACACATGTTGCTAATAGTGCATGGATAATTGATTTTGGTGCCACAGATTATATGACATTTGATTCTAGACAGGTCTCACCTCTTAATTCATCCTCACACAAATTTGTTTCAACTACCAATTGGACTTTGACCCCAGTTATTGGGAAAGGATCTTTGACACCCACTGATAATCTGCATTTAGATTCTGTTTTAGTTGTTCCATCTTTAGATTCTAATCTTTTATCAGTTTCCCAAATTACCACAGCTTTATCTTTTGTTGTAATTTTTTGGCCTGATTTTTGTGTATTTAAGGACATCCAAACAAAACAGAGGATTGGTTGTGGTATTCGGTGAGGGAAACTGTATTACTTGGACTTGATGTCCAAAAGTTCAGACAAGCTACGACAAGCATTGACAGTGGATGGTTCTGAGGGGGAGAGAAACAAATATGAAATCTGGCTGTGGCATCGACGTCTGGGCATGCTTCCTTTGGTTGTTTGAAAAAATTATTTCCTAGTTTGTTTGCAAAATGTGATGCTTCTAGTTTCCGCTGTGATGTTTATGAACTAGCAAAAAGCCATCGTGTTTCGTATCCATTATGTTTGCATAAAAGTCCACATCCTTTTATGCTTATACATTCTGATGTTTGGGGTCTGTCCAAAGTTACTACTTTAAGTGGATCCCGTTGGTTTGTTACTTTTATTAATGACTATACCAAGATGACCTGGTTGTGCTTGATGAAGTCCAAAGGTGAAGTGAACTTATTGTTTCAGAAGTTTCATAAAATGGTTGAAACTCAATACAATGCACATATTCAGGTTCTCCGTAGTGACAATGGTGGAGAATATCAGAGTTTTGCCCTTTAACAGTATTTGAAAGCACGTGGAACTATTCATCAAACCACTTGTTCCAATATACCCCACCAGAATGGGGTTGCAAAGCGAAAAAATCGACACTTGTTAGAGGTTGTTCGCGCTTCATTGATAGAAGCGCATATGCCATTATCGTATTAGGGAGAAGCACTTACCACTACAGCATATCTCATCAATCGAGTACCTTCCAGCTCTATTGCCTTCAGGACACCATTGCAAGCTCTCATTGACGCAGTTGTTGGCCCAACCGTCCCAAGTCTACCTCCTCATGTCTTTGGTTGTGTAGCGTTTGTTCACTTCCATAAGCATCAACGCAATAAGCTAACTCCTCGCGCATTGCGATGTGTTTTTCTTGGATATACTACTCATTAAAAGGGGTATCGCTGTTATCACCCTCCAACTCGACGAATGTTTATCACCATGGATGTTGTCTTCCATGACGACTCGATGTATTTTTCCTCTGCGTCTGAACTTCAGGGGGAGTACCAGAAAGAAATTCAGACTCTAGATTATGATTATCACATTTTTTACGGCAATTCTCATGGTGATGACTCACAAGTCAGACCAGCCAATCAGGAATCAGGCGAATTGGATTCAAGTGGTATACGTTTGGATTAAAGTGGTGATGAACGCCCCGAAATGGAAAGTATGGCGCCAACCTCACCGTCGTCCGAGTTTGAGTCCCTCGCAATTGATATATCAAACCAATCACCTGTTGAGGATGTTCCTGAATTAATGTCTGAGCCACTCAGAAAACAATTACCACAGCATCACACTAGAGGTATTCCTAAACCTACATATGAACCCGAACTTTCTAGTAAAGTTAAGTATCCTATGAGTCATTATGTGTCAAACCATCATTTGTCAGAATCAAATTTGTCATTTGTAAATCAATTATCTACTGTATCTATTCTTAATAGTGTGCAGGAAGCCTTAGTTGACCCTAGGTGGAAAGCAGCTATGAACGAGGAGATGAAATCCTTACAGAAAAATAAAACTTGGGAACTCATTGATCTTCCACCAGGAAAGAAACCAGTAGGATGTCGATGGATTTACACTGTAAAGTATAAAGCCGATGGCACAGTTAAACACTTTAAAGCAAGATTGGTGGCAAAAGGTTACACCCAAACCTATGGAATCGATTATACAGAGATGTTCGCACCTGTAGCCAAAATCAAGACAGTTCGGGTCTTGTTGTCTTTAGCTGCGAACTTGGATTGGCCATTGCAATAATTCGATGTGAAGAATGCCTTTCTGCATGGTGAATTATCTGAAGAAGTCTACATGGATCTCCCACTAAGATGCATGATACTCGAAAAGTATACTCGGAAGGTCTGCAGGTTAAAGAAATCATTATATAGATTGAAACAATCTCCGAGAGCATAGTTTGGAAGATTCACAAAGTCGATGATAACATTTGGCAACCGTCAGAGTAATTCAGACCACACATTATTCCGGAAGAAACAACAGGGTAAGATCACTGCACTCATTGTATACGTAGATGACATGGTGGTTATAGGGAATGATCCTGAAGAAATGAAGGCTCTCAAGAAGTACTTGTCTAGAGAATTCGAAATGAAAGATCTAGGTCCTCTAAGATATTTTCTTGGGATCGAAGTATCTCGATCTAATAAAGGAATTTTTCTATCTCAAAGAAAATATGCCTTAGATCTATTACAAGAGACTGGCATGACAACATGTTAACCAGCTGAGACACCAGTGGAAAAAAGACTGAAGTTATGTGTTGAGTCCAACCAAGTACTTGCTAATAAAGAAAGATATCAAAGACTTGTAGGGAGATTGATGTATTTAGCACATACGAGACCGGATCGGGCTTATGCATTAAGCATTGTTAGCCAGTTTATGCATGATCCTGGAGAGCAACATATGAATGCAGTTATGCGCATTTTGAGGTATCTGAAATCTACTCCTGGAAAAGGAATTTTGTTCACTAAAAATGCTGGTTATCAAAACATAGATGCATATACTGATGCTGACTGGGCTGGAGCTATAGATGATAAGCGATCTACTTCTAGTTACTTTACTTTTGTAGGAGGTAATCTTGTTACATGGAGAAGCAAGAAACAAAATGTTGTTGCTCGCTCGAGTGCAGAAGCTGAATTCAGAGGTATGGCACTTGGACTTTGTGAAACTTTGTGGTTAAGACTTCTCTTGCGGGATTTGGGTTATTTATTTGGGCAACCGATTCGACTATATTGTGACAATAAAGCAACATGTGATATTGCCCATAATCCAGTTTAACATGATCGTACGAAATATGTCGAAATAGACAGATTCTTCATTAAGGAAAAGTTGGATGGAAAAATTGTGGAGTTGCCTAAGATTCGATCTGAAGATCAACTAGCCGACATTCTCACCAAAGCAGTATCAAATCAAGTGTTTTCAAAAATTTTAGATAAGTTGGGCATGGGTGACATCTATGCACTAACTTGAGGGGGAGTGTTGAGATTTGACCACGTGTAATTCGGGATTATACAGATTGTACAGCTCAGGATTGAATTATTTACTTATTGATTTAGGGCTAATTGGCAGGTAATTAGTTTCCTGATTATTGTATATTTAGTTACCTATTTTAGCTAGGTATTACTCTATAAATTGAATGTAACACCATCGTCAATAATATTGAATTGAGTTTTTAATCCTCATATTCCTTCTTTGAATTTCAAGAGCGACAGCCACATTTTCATGTCGAGTGGTGAAAAGAATTCGACTGCCATTGCTGTCATTTGGAAAATTTAGTTTCAGATCATCCCAAGGCTCTGAATTCCATATATCATCCATGATTATAAGATACCTCTTACCCTTTAAGCTTTTGTACAGCTCTTCACCTACCTTTTCATCACACATTTCACAAATATCATCTCTAGATGGGAAGGCGGAGTTAAAAATGGCAAGCAACAAATCCCTCTTCTGATATACTTGACACATAAATCCGTGCACGAATATAAAAGTGATATTCAATGAAAAAATCATTGTAAACTTTTTTGGAGAGAGTTGTCTTACCGAGTCCAGGCATGCCAACGATGGCTATGCACTTTAGCTGCTTTCCATGTTCTTCAGTAAGCAGTTCCTTTATTGTCCTTGTTTCTTCATTGATATCAACTACTGTTTCTTCCTGTACCATGGGCCTCATTGGTTTTGATGAAGTTCCAGGGGAAGACTTTATGGATCGTAGGGCTCCTGTCATGCCATAGAGCTTCTTCTTCTCGTAAATCTCCTTCACCTCTGTTTTTATAGACTTGATGTGTTCTCTGACACTGCCTAAACCACAACGAATTTTATCCGCCGAGCAATCAAGCCATGTGAGACCCAAATTCCTTCCATAAAGATTCATCATCTCCGTCTTGGTAGAATGAATCACATGTGTGACACCGCAAATCTGCAAGGATCAGGAAGAAATTGTACAAACAATTCATCAGTGTGAGAATTATCAAGGGATGTGACACTTGATACCTTATCAGAAATTGTCATGATCACCTTTTTCTTGATATTCTGAATCAACATTGTGGGACGCGATAATAGACATGATAATATCCATGAAAATTCCTTAACCAGGTCAGCCATCTCTTGGGACAAACTGAGGAGGATATGAATGTCAAAGTCAGGCCAAGTGGGACTCAGTTCCTTCACGTCTTCTTCGTTAATCAGAATCACGAATCTTTTTAGTCCGATGGACCATCATTTCGGACAATTTGATGAAGAAACGGAATTCATCAGGCATGTCACGAGACTGAAGCCATTTGATAATCATTCTTTTTCTCATCTGACTTTGTGGAGCTTTCCTCCCTTCTCTATCCTCATTGATCTCATAAATATTGTTCAATATTCTGATCGCTGTATTAACATCAATCATTGTATTAACATCAATCATTCTTTGCACATTTGTTATATATACATTGAAAAAATCTATCTCATCTGCAATAGTTTTAAAGCCACGATAGATGTTCTTAGCCAGATCAACCATCTCCCAGGACAAACGGAGACCAAGCACTTCATCAGCAGCAGCAAACACTGTTGTTCTTGTTGTATGTTGTTTCTGCAAGACAGTGCTGACGACTAGCGGATCAATGATATCTGCAACCTTGCGAGTCAAATCTTCAATTTTTGAGACCAGCTGCTCATGCTCCTCATTGCGTATCATATCTTCCGATGAATCTTTGAGAAACTTTCCAAGGAATTTGATATCCTCATAAAGCAATTGGATTTGGTCCTTGTCTTCTATGAGTTTCTTCTCAATCAACCGATCATCATTTGAGTTTACTAGCAACTGCCTCATCTTCTCCAACACAAAGTCCACAACAGTACTGTCTGTCATCTTCAAATTGATGAATGAAACAAACTGGAGTGAGTCAAGAGATCATGGGAACAACTGATTCACTCCTATTTGGGTCCAACCATGTAATCTGGGTAGAAAGTGGTTTCAAGCTAGCGTAAAGGGTCATTGAATGAGGCCTTCATCTCCTCTCTTTCCGGATATGAAATTGAGAATGTATCATATCTTTTTCTTTTCGGCTTCTTTTTCTTTTTCTTTTGCTTTTGCTTTTCCTTTTGCATTTGGAATTTCTTATGGTATATCAATAATGCAGGTATAAAAAATGAAAACAGTAATATCCCTTAAATAAATTAAAATTGATCAATGTATAAAGGAACACTACGATCACGCGAATCATGAGCGCTTATGAAAATGCAATATTTGTAGAACATTGCTCACAGCTTCTTCCTCGGTAAAATTTGCCCATGATTCTTTGACTTTATCCTTTCCTTTGTTCCTTCAAACAAGGATTTGAATTCAAAAACAAATCCCCCTTTGAGACCTTTGTTACCAGCTCTTCCTTACCCAGATGACCGTTAGTAGAGCCCCCAATGGATAGTTTTGACAAGCCATAAAAAGATTTTGGGTTGGGCTGATCTACTCCCAATTTCCCAAACACAGTTATTTTGGGGCCACTCAAAGACATTTTGAATTATTGTAATCTGGCCCACTTCCAACTCCACCAGAACTAGACTTGAATGAAAGCCCACTTGAGCTCTCCAAAGTTTCAATATTTCCCTCCTTCCCTTTCAGCCTGAATATATATATATATATATATATATATATATATATATATATATATACATATATTTCCAATCACGAAGGAGGAGGTTATGACCACATCTCTGTGATGAACGTTTCCATCTTATTCAAAACAGAGGATTGAGAAGAAACAGAGTTCCTCTGGCATTATGCTCTTGCCAAATGTGATAGATGGTTGCTGACAATGCAATTTTTCGAATTGTGTTGCTCAAGTTATTTTGCTTCCAATGCAGGATAGATGTTTGGTAGTGTGCTTCATTGGATGGAAAAATATCATGAGCCTGCATTTATGAATTCCTTTACCAGAGTGTTACTCGGGCATCCCAAAGCTACCATTCTTTGCTCCGAAAATCTTTCGTCCACTGTTGAGCCAATGGTCCGTCCAGAACATGAGCTTTCGCCAAAGGCCTCATCTCCATGAGCATGATTGTGGTATCTTCATAGTCCACGAGTTGTTGCTCTTAACCAGGTATTGTTTGCACCATTGTATATGTCCCCAAATTCTTCCCAAACATGTTTTAGAATGGCTGATTTGTTGGAGATTTCCAGGTCGGTTGAACCTAGATCACCTTCCATTAGTAGAGAGTTCAGTTCAGTGTTAATCTTCTTGGGCAATTTGAAAACATGCTAGACCAATACAATTGTGTTGAGATAAGGACGGATATCTAATTAGTTGTAATCTTCTTCCATCCCAAAAATTTCAACTTAACAAAAAATATATATATATATCAAGGCTAAAATGTAATGTTTGTGATTTATATATAAAAATAAAAAATAAAAATAAATAAATAAATTATTACTATGGGTATTTTTAGCCCAGCCCAAAAAAAAAAAATTATTATTAATATTAACCCACCCAAATAAGCCCAAATCAGCTAAGCCACAATACTAAAATAAAGGCTCAAGCCTAACAAGCCCTATTAATTATGAGTATTAGGATATGAAGTAAAACATATTTTGAGATAAATTTGTTGTAGAGGCCGTTATGAAATTATATATATAGAATAAATTCATAATTTCAACACTTTCAAATCATCATAAAAAATAAACAGAGCTCCACTGTTTATCTTGAAAGTATTCAACAAATAAACAAAAAAATCTATTGTATTATAAACTACGAAAATTTGATGATTTTAATCTCTAAATAGACAAGGAGTATTAGTATAAAAGAAAACATCTAAATTCAATAATTCACAAATCAAAAGTTACTAACTAACTATAGATTTAGATAAAACAAATATAGATGGGTAAGTGTTAGAATTTCAAATTGATTTATAAAATAAAACCACAAACAAAAATTACAATAATTCAATCTTTAAAACCAAAAAAACCAAATATGAAACGTGTTAAAACATAGCACGATGGGAGATGAATTTCTTACTGATTGCATGACGGGACCTTGTTTGAAAAATTGACTTGGAGTCTATTATCGACGAATTCGAGTTTTTAAAGACTCGTCGAGCACAACTTAGATAGATATTTTGTAATATTTGAATTCAAATATTTATCTAGATTATGTTATAAAAAATTTTGCTTAAGAAATTGTGTTATTAAATTTATGTTTAATTTTAGCCCACCCTACAGACAATTCCTAGATCCGCCCTTGTATATATATATATATATATATATATATATATATATATATATATATATATATCTGTGTGTGTGTTGGGGGGAGAGGGGGGGTAGTAAATTTTAAAATGAAAAGAAAAGTTAAACGAAAAAGGTTTTTGGTGGTGGAACCGACCACTAATTTTTTTTTATGTGGCCAAGAGGCCATGTTTTGGCCTTACCCACCACTAATTTTTTTTATGTGGCCAAGAGGCCATGTTTTGGCCTTAATTCTTCTTTTTTTCTCTCTCTCCCGTAAGCCTTCTCCTTCTCTTCTTTTTTTCTTTTTTCTTTCTTCTTAAATTTCAAGTTTTGATTAACCCCTAACCGTTAGGAGATTTTTGGTACCGTTTGCGGCAAAACGGAGAGCTCAGCGAGATCTACGCATGGGTGTAAGCAATTTATCATTTGGTTCACCCTAAGAAATTTGAATTCTAGGGTTCAAATTAGAGGTTTTCATCATTTTGAGGTAGGGGTGCTCTAATATACAATTTCTTGGATTTCTTGTGAAGTTTTCTTTTAATTAGACTCTAAGCATGCTTAAATTTAATTTTGCTTGATTATGTTTGTTGTGGTTGTTGTTATTTAAGTGATAAAGGCATGCTAGGTGTTAAGTGAGCTTAGAAATATGATTAAACCTTTTGTGGTGAATAAGCATGCTTACTTTTGATATATTATATGCCTATGTTTTCAAATTGCTATGAAAAGTGATGTAGTAATTATGAAAATGAATGATTATATTTTATACTTTATTTATTTAAGTTGTTGGATTTGCTAATTGAAAGTATGTAAAATGTCATGATTTAGAAAGTATTAGAATGTGATATTGTGTGGGAATTCATATTTTAAGCATGCTTGAATGATATGGATAAAATATAGGAAATATCTATATTGTTATGGCATTGAAGGATTTGTATAGTTCATACTTTATCATTAGGAAAGTAAAAAAGAGAAAAGTTTGTTTTAAAAACAAATGAAATTGTTTTTGGGAAAAGTTTTTGAAGAGTGTTGTGAAAAACTCGGATGCCTAGGAGACGTCTAGTGGTCCGTGGTGTTAATGTGATCTAGAGGGGGTTTAGAGAGAGACTGTAGTGTGGTTGAGCTACCTAGGCCCAGACGATGCCATGGAGGTGCCATATGGTCGGGGAAAGCTAGCTAACCCCACCATCGTGACGCCTTGGAGGTGTCTTAGGTCAGATTGCACTAACGGTTTGGAGGATTGAAACGGTATTGTTTTGGAAATGGGGAGCGACATTGCATGGCATGGCATTGCATTGGCATACATTGTACATTTGGTAGTTAGACGACTTGAATATGCATTGTTAGTATTGTCGTTGTTTTGCTTGTTTTTCTCGAGGCATGACCCTACTTACTTGTACTCTATTCCTTATGTGGATTCACGGGTTTATAAGAAGTGTGTCTTAGACACTTCCTACTAAGCTTATGCTCACTCCTTTATTATTAACATTTTTCAGGATACGGAAGGGAAGTGGTGTGACAACCCGGATTTTTTTAAATTTAATTTACTTCATTATATTTTTTGGTTGCCATAATTAATGATTTAATTTTGATTGGAGTTTTTATTAATTAGGTTGATTAATTTTCTTACATTATATATATATATATACACACACACACACACACACATAAGGATGGCAGTTTGACGAAATGGGGATGAAGGAAGTGGTAATGTGATTGCGGGTCCCACTTGTGATAATGATGGGTTTTTGATATGTTACATTTTCATATATGTTTGTGTGTGTGTGTGTGTGTGTGTGTGAGAGAGATATATATGTATGGTCAGATGAAGCAATGAGATAGGTAGTGCCAAAAATGAAGAAAAAATTGAGATGGTAATGTGATGATGGTAATGCGGGTCCCACGAAACTTTTTGGGAAAATTTGTTTGATTTTGATTTTATGCACAAAGTTTTTGTGCACTTGGGATGCGATAAGAAAAAAAATTGGTGGTTGCCGAAAAGATAAGGAGAGAGGAAGATTGTGATAAAGGTGGTGGTGGGACCCATAAACATAAATTAGTGGCCAATTTTCCTTTGATTTTAACTGAGCACGTGGGTTGTAATGTGGGTTATGATGTGTTTGGACTGATATTTGTGTTGGGTCGATGCATATTGCCTATATATAAGTTGTATCTGTTTAGTGACTTTGGTAAAGAATTAGAGAAAGCATACAAGTAATGAAATAAAGGAAACAGATACAGAAAGAGTGAGCCGAGACACAGAGATGGACAGACACAGATAGAGCCGAAAGTTTTAGAGGAGGCACATAGGGCCGGACTTGAGACTTTGATGATCCATGATATTTCTTTTACGGGTTATTTAGACTTTGCCACTGAAGGTAAAGTCGACAAGCGCGCCGAGATCTACATTTTGATCAGAGCAAAGTGTCGTTTGGCCACCATTTGGGAATTCGAGATTTAGGGTTTTTTACCTATTTTAAGGTAGGGGTTTTCCTAAGCCTTCAAACTTTGCCTTTTGTTGAGTAATTTCTTCCTTTTGATTACGTTATATTGAATGTAAGTTTATCAAAAAAAATAAAAAATAAAAAATAAAAAATAAATGAACAATTTACTTTCTATACTAAATGATAATTGTTATCATGATTGAAGTGTTGAGATTATGGGTTTAAAGCATGCTACGTGGAATGACTGGACTGTGTTGTGTTGAAAATTGATTTGCTAACATGATTTGCGATGGGTTGAATTATATGGAGAGCATGCTTGTTGTTTCACTTAAATAAATGTTATGATTATAATTGGTTATTATAGAATGTCATGTTTACATACATTGAATTGTAAATGCCATGCTAATATTATTATTAGTGTTGTGATGAGCTTGATGATCACGAGCATGTGAAATGTTGCATTGCATGACATGGCAAGGAAAGGGATTTGAAATGGTTTTGAAAATGAAGTTTTTTGAAAAGAAAAGTTTTTCTATAAATGGGAAGTTTTTAT